TTCTTCTCTGATCATAAGACATAAAGATTGCTATCTTTTAATTAGGGAAATATTATTCCGAGTTTTATATAAACTTGTTCAATTTACTCATAAGTTTCCTTGCTTATTTAATTCCTTATTGTGTTAATAATATTAATATATTGTTAAATACAAATGAGTGTTTTGTTATTGGATTCAGAAACTAGACTCTGGACTCCAGACTCGCGACATATCTCTAATAAATTGCTAATCAATTCATACGAAAAACAAAAGTTTAATACAAGTAATGGGTTTAAAGAAGAAATTCCGAATGGATATAGTGATGAAGACGGGTATCATAGAAACCATTGGTCCAAAAATGTTGAGGCCATTGATATACTGACGAGTCCTAAGTTTCAGTCAGGAGTTAGACATAATGGACAACCAGAAGGACCGTTAGATTTGGAATGTCTTTATTACGATCAGTTTGATTGCAACTCATCTCCAGAACTACTTTACCCTAAAAAAGAAGTCTTTAATTCTTCGATAGGATACCAAAGATATCAAAGCGATGGTCAGTCCTCGTGCTCTGGTCTACAAAACACGAGTCAAACACACGCTTCAGATCCAAACCTCGAGAGTGTGATCGACGACGCGATTTCATTGGAGTCTTCGTTCAAAGCGATCGATTCCAACAATTCCTCGCTTTCTGTGCAACAGTTGCCCAACACTTGTGAATGGATTGACTGCTACTCTGTATTCAAAAGTCAGGACGAATTAGTGAGTTATTGGACTTTATTATAATATTTTTAGTGATTTATACATAACAAGGAAATAATTAAAATTATATGAATTAATGATCGATCAATAGGTAAATCATATCGAAAAGTTTCACATCGATCAGAGACGTAATAGCGACGAGTTTACATGTTTTTGGAGGGCATGTCCTCGAAATAAACGACCCTTTAATGCCAGATATAAATTACTGATTCATATGAGAGTGCATTCTGGTGAAAAACCAAATAAATGCACTGTAAGCTTTCAACATGTAATCCATGTATTTTGTAATAAATAATCTTTATTTTGACCATTAGTTTGAAGGCTGTGTTAAAGCTTTTTCACGTCTTGAAAATCTTAAGATTCATATGCGGTCTCATACTGGGGAACGACCCTATGTTTGTCAGTACGACAACTGCACCAAAGCTTTCAGCAATTCATCCGACCGGGCGAAACATCAGAGGACTCATATCGACACTGTATGCCATCATTACTATAACTTATCATTCAATTCGTAGTACACTAGAGACAATTCCTATATCATTAAAATACAGATTAATTTTAAGTAATTACATTAAATTAAAAGTAAAAATCTGAATACAATTTATTTATAGAAACCATACGGGTGTCAAGTGCCCAACTGTGGCAAAAAATATACTGACCCGAGTTCTTTAAGAAAACACATGAAAAATCATTTATTAAAAACAGACAGACGGAAAAAGGTTTGATAATCAGGATAAGTTTATATTTAAAATGCATTTTGTGATTAATTTGAATATTCCTCGGCGTATAGACATCGAGCACTTCAACTTCAACATCAATCTCCGGACTTGAAGACAACTCAATGCCCAATATGTTTAGAGATCACAGAAGTCTGTGTGCAACAGTTGCCCAACACTTGTGAATGGATTGACTGCTACTCTGTATTCAAAAGTCAGGACGAATTAGTGAGTTATTGGACTTTATTATAATATTTTTAGTGATTTATACATAACAAGGAAATAATATAGACATCGAGCACTTCAACTTCAACATCAATCTCCGGACTTGAAGACAACTCAATGCCCAATATGTTTAGAGATCACAGAAGTCTGAACTCATCGTTGAATTCTTCGTTCAACGGAAGCTTTTCGAGTTCATTGTCGCAGTCGTGGGGAGGCGTGAGTTCGCCGCTCAGCTCGTCCTGTATTTCGCATAATTTCAATACAGAAGTGCCTAAAATGGTTAGACCCCTATCAATGGCCAGTTCATACAATGCTGGAGTTTCTGGCGGTGTATCCAGTGCTCAGTACTGGCAAAGCGAACGACAAGTTCATAGCAATTATAATCACGCAAATAGTTTGGCTAACATATTGGCCAACACTTCAATTCAAGGGTTAACTAATCAGCACATTTCTAAACTCTTAGCACCCATACCTAACTCAACTCAATCCAATGCTAATCAATTCAATCAAATCAACGATAATTCTAATTATTATCAATAAATTATTTTAATACAACACTATTTTAAATATTAATTATCTCAACCATTATTGTTTATTACCATATGTATGTTTATAGCTTTAATACTAACCAAATATTAATATTAACCAATAATGGGTAGTTATAAATATTTACAATTATTTTACATGCAATATTAATTCAGCATGTTATAAATAGTTGTACCATAATTTTATAAAGCAATTAATTTTTCTAATTATTTAAAATTATCAATTATGCATAAGCAACTTAGTAAAACATGTTAATAAGTTATTTAAATAATAAAACTTATAATTTATTACAATTCCTGGAATTAATTATAAGATCTCATAAATAATAAATAATAAATATCAGATAATATAGTATGCGCAATAATTGATTTTATTTTACAATATGTATTACATTTAAATTAATTTATACCTACGGTATAACACAATATGATAATTATAGCTTAATTTTATATTAATAATTAAAACACTGACATTAAATCATAGAAATAAATGTTAACCATTACTGGTGAAATAATTGTATTTTAAATTGACCGAGAAATAAAAAACATTTAAAACATGTCTAATCATAAACAGCTCCAATAACGATGGCCAAATTTAGCTCGGAATCATTGGTCATAATTGGTGAATATGATAAATTCCAGAGTCTCGCACTTAAAATAACTGTTAAATTATGTTAGTGTTAACCCTATTGTTAAGTTAATTCAATTCATACACATCTCATTGGGACGGAGAGTGTCCTCAACAGACCCACAGCCACGAGAAGCACAAAATTCTTTGGGTTCCGCTTTGATTCTGTTTTCACCCCTGATTTGAATCATTAGCAGTGCCTGAGTTCCGGGCGACGGATCAATCTGTTTGTCAAATAAATATATATTTACAACAAAAATCAACAAATAAAATTTGTGTCAAACCAATTTGAACTGCAATCCCGTATAGTTTTGTGAAACTAAAATCCAATTTGATTTCGTGAGTTCAAGCATTGAGGGAACTATTTCTGGTCTTTTATAATATTTTCTCATTTGTTTCTCAGTCTTTTGGTCGCAATTCTCCCTAAAATTATTACAAACTTAATTCAATGTAAATATATAGTAATAACAATGAACTGACCAGTGGGCATACCATCCAAACTGGAACACCTTATTTGATCTCATTTTCTTTAACAAAGTCAAGTGATCGCTGGTCTTAATGTTGGATCTGAAGAGACATATATTCTTCCAGTCATTCGAGTCATATATCTATAAAATGATACAATTACTACAATTGTAATAAATGTTAATTCAATTACTTCTTCAATATCTTTGAGACCAAAATGGTGTCGAGCGATGGGCCACTTAATCAGTTCACTCTCCATAACATCTGATCCAACAATGACTGGAATTTCATTTTTTATATAATTTTCTCCAATTATTCCACTCTTGAGGTCTGAATTTCTTTCAATTCTGAAGATGT